CCTCTCCGCCGCGATGTTGAAGATGGCGGCGTCCTCCCGCCGCGGTGAAGACAAGATGGCGGCTTCCCGCCGTTTCTCCCCTGCCACGCCCAAGATGGCGTCTTCGTGCCACGTGGCAGATGGCGCTGGCAGCTCAGGAAAGGCGGAGGCCTACAGATCACCACCGGGCCTCCCCGACGTCGTCCTCGAAGTGGTGAACTCACACAGTTGCGCCAGCACGATTTTCAAGGTCCCCATCTGCATCGCCATCTGTCTCCATCGTAAGTTGGCGTCCTCCGGCACAGACAGGTCCACCGACGCGGCGACACCTTGCTCACCCGGACCCGTACTCGTTCCAGAACGGATCTCCTCTTCCATCGCAGGCAGGTCCACCGTCTGAGGAAGGTCGTCGTCGTCGGATGATGTAGCAGGAATATTCTTTTTTTTTTCTTCTTTCTCTCAGTTGTTTTGAGATGCCGTTTCACTTCTGACTCCAGTGTAATAAAAGGACTCAGACGCTTCTCGCTGACTCCGTGTCCTTTATTTGGGGTTCGCGTTCTCCTTCCCACACGGCACTCCTCCTGAGACTCTCTCCCTGGCAGCCCCACATCTGCCTTCGCTCCCGTAGCCTTCCACGCTCCTGCAGCTCCGCTGCAGGCTCTTGGTGCAGCCCTCCGGCTGCCCCCACAGCAGCTCCATCGCTGCTCCCTGTTCCTCCGTGCGTGGCGATCTCGCCACCTCCCAACGTCAGCCCTTCGTGGCCTCTATGGCTATCTCGCCATTTCCTACCTCAGCCCTTCGTGGCCTCTGTGGCTATCTCGCCACTTCCTACCTCAGCCCTTCGTGGCCTCTGTGGCTATCCCGCCACTTCCTACCTCAGCCCTTCGTGGCCTCTGTGGCTATCTCGCCATCTCCAACCTCAATCCTCCACTCTCTTCCACCCCGCTGGCTGGCGCCGTCATGAGCCCCTCAGCCACCAGGCTGAGGCACGGCGACCACCCAACGTGTTCACCACCCTTCACTCCCCCGACTGACCCAGATAGCTTCCTGTCTCCCCGCTATAACTTCTCCCCCACGTCACCCTGACTCCTCCCTCTTGGATCGTCATATCCGCCCCGCCCATTTACGCCCGCATTACACACTCACCACTCACTCACTACTCACCATACACTCACCACTCACTCGCTACTCACCATACACTCACCACGCACTCACTACTCACTCACTGCACGGGCATCATGGGTGAGTGTCACTACTCACCACTCACTACTCACCATACACTCACCACGCACTCACCACTCACTCGCTACTCACCATACACTCACCATACACTCACCACTCACTCGCTACTCACCATACACTCACCACGCACTCACTACTCACTCACTGCACGGGCATCATGAGTGAGTGTCACTACTCACCACTCACTACTCACCATACACTCACCACTCACTCACTACTCACTCACTGCATGGGCATCATGGGTGAGTGTCACTATTCACCATACACTCACTCACTGCTCACCACTGACTCACCACTCACTCACTGCTCACCACTCACTCGTGGTGGTTGTTGAAGTTGTTGTCGTGGTGGTGGTTGTTGTAGTTGAAGTTGTTGTCGTGGTGGTTGTCTAAGTTGTTGTCGTGGTGGTCGTTGTTGTAGTTGAAGTTGTTGTCGTGGTGGTGGTTGTTGTTGTTGAAGTTGTTGTCGTGGTGGTGGTTGTTGTAGTTGAAGTTGTTGTCGTGGTGGTTGCCTAAGTTGTTGTAGTGGTGGTGGTTGTTGTAGTTGAAGTTGTTGTCGTGGTGGTTGTCTAAGTTGTTGTCGTGGTGGTCGTTGTTGTAGTTGAAGTTGTTGTCGTGGTGGTGGTTGTTGTTGTTGAAGTTGTTGTCGTGGTGGTGGTTGTTGTAGTTGAAGTTGTTGTCGTGGTGGTTGTCTAAGTTGTTGTCGTGGTGGTGGTTGTTGTAGTTGAAGTTGTTGTCGTGGTGGTGGTTGTTGTTGTTGAAGTTGTTGTCGTGGTGGTTGTTGTTGTAGTTGAAGTTGTTGTCGTGGTGGTGGTTGTTGTTGTTGAAGTTGTTGTCGTGGTGGTGGTTGTTGTAGTTGAAGTTGTTGTCGTGGTGGTTGTCTAAGTTGTTGTCGTGGTGGTGGTTGTTGTAGTTGAAGTTGTTGTCGTGGTGGTGGTTGTTGTTGTTGAAGTTGTTGTCGTGGTGGTTGTTGTTGTAGTTGAAGTTGTTGTCGTGGTGGTTGTCTAAGTTGTTGTCGTGGTGGTGGTTGTTGTAGTTGAAGTTGTTGTCGTGGTGGTGGTTGTTGTTGTTGAAGTTGTTGTCGTGGTGGTTGTTGTTGTAGTTGAAGTTGTTTTCGTGGTGGTGGTTGTTGTAGTTGAAGTTGTTTTCGTGGTGTTGGTTGTTGTTGTTGAAGTTGTTGTCGTGGTGGTGGTTGTTGTAGTTGAAGTTGTTTTCGTGGTGGTTGTTGTTGTTGAAGTTGTTGTCGTGGTGGTTGTTGTTGTAGTTGAAGTTGTTTTCGTGGTGGTGGTTGTTGTAGTTGAAGTTGTTGTCGTGGTGGTGGTTGTTGTTGTTGAAGTTGTTGTCGTGGTGGTTGTTGTTGTAGTTGAAGTTGTTTTCGTGGTGGTGGTTGTTGTTGTTGAAGTTGTTGTCGTGGTGTTGGTTGTTGTTGTTGAAGTTGTTGTCGTGGTGGTGGTTGTTGTAGTTTAAGTTGTTGTCGTGGTGGTGGTTGTTGTAGTTGAAGTTGTTGTCGTGGTGGTTGTCTAAGTTGTTGTCGTGGTGGTCGTTGTTGTAGTTGAAGTTGTTGTCGTGGTGGTGGTTGTTGTTGTTGAAGTTGTTGTCGTGGTGGTGGTTGTTGTAGTTGAAGTTGTTGTCGTGGTGGTTGTCTAAGTTGTTGTCGTGGTGGTGGTTGTTGTAGTTGAAGTTGTTGTCGTGGTGGTGGTTGTTGTTGTTGAAGTTGTTGTCGTGGTGGTTGTTGTTGTAGTTGAAGTTGTTGTCGTGGTGATGGTTGTTGTTGTTGAAGTTGTTGTCGTGGTGGTGGTTGTTGTAGTTGAAGTTGTTGTCGTGGTGGTTGTCTAAGTTGTTGTCGTGGTGGTGGTTGTTGTAGTTGAAGTTGTTGTCGTGGTGGTGGTTGTTGTTGTTGAAGTTGTTGTCGTGGTGGTTGTTGTTGTAGTTGAAGTTGTTTTCGTGGTGGTGGTTGTTGTAGTTGAAGTTGTTTTCGTGGTGTTGGTTGTTGTTGTTGAAGTTGTTGTCGTGGTGGTGGTTGTTGTAGTTGAAGTTGTTTTCGTGGTGGTTGTTGTTGTTGAAGTTGTTGTCGTGGTGGTTGTTGTTGTAGTTGAAGTTGTTTTCGTGGTGGTGGTTGTTGTAGTTGAAGTTGTTGTCGTGGTGGTGGTTGTTGTTGTTGAAGTTGTTGTCGTGGTGGTTGTTGTTGTAGCTGAAGTTGTTTTCGTGGTGGTGGTTGTTGTTGTTGAAGTTGTTGTCGTGGTGTTGGTTGTTGTTGTTGAAGTTGTTGTCGTGGTGGTGGTTGTTGTAGTTGAAGTTGTTTTCGTGGTGGTTGTGGTTGAAGTTGTTTTCGTGGTGGTGGTTGTTGTAGTTGAAGTTGTTGTCGTGGTGGTGGTTGTTGTAGTTTAAGTTGTTGTCGTGGTGGTGGTTGTTGTAGTTGAAGTTGTTGTCGTGGTGGTTGTGGTTGAAGTTGTTGTCGTGGTGGTGGTTGTTGTAGTTGAAGTTGTTGTCGTGGTGGTGGTTGTTGTTGTTGAAGTTGTTGTCGTGGTGGTGGTTGTTGTAGTTGAAGTTGTTGTCGTGGTGGTTGTCTAAGTTGTTGTCGTGGTGGTGGTTGTTGTAGTTGAAGTTGTTGTCGTGGTGGTGGTTGTTGTTGTTGAAGTTGTTGTCGTGGTGGTTGTTGTTGTAGTTGAAGTTGTTGTCGTGGTGGTGGTTGTTGTTGTTGAAGTTGTTGTCGTGGTGGTGGTTGTTGTAGTTGAAGTTGTTGTCGTGGTGGTTGTCTAAGTTGTTGTCGTGGTGGTGGTTGTTGTAGTTGAAGTTGTTGTCGTGGTGGTGGTTGTTGTTGTTGAAGTTGTTGTCGTGGTGGTTGTTGTTGTAGTTGAAGTTGTTTTCGTGGTGGTGGTTGTTGTAGTTGAAGTTGTTTTCGTGGTGTTGGTTGTTGTTGTTGAAGTTGTTGTCGTGGTGGTGGTTGTTGTAGTTGAAGTTGTTTTCGTGGTGGTTGTTGTTGTTGAAGTTGTTGTCGTGGTGGTTGTTGTTGTAGTTGAAGTTGTTTTCGTGGTGGTGGTTGTTGTAGTTGAAGTTGTTGTCGTGGTGGTGGTTGTTGTTGTTGAAGTTGTTGTCGTGGTGGTTGTTGTTGTAGTTGAAGTTGTTTTCGTGGTGGTGGTTGTTGTTGTTGAAGTTGTTGTCCTGGTGTTGGTTGTTGTTGTTGAAGTTGTTGTCGTGGTGGTGGTTGTTGTAGTTGAAGTTGTTTTCGTGGTGGTTGTGGTTGAAGTTGTTTTCGTGGTGGTGGTTGTTGTAGTTGAAGTTGTTGTCGTGGTGGTGGTTGTTGTAGTTTAAGTTGTTGTCGTGGTGGTGGTTGTTGTAGTTGAAGTTGTCGTGGTGGTTGTGGTTGAAGTTGTTGTCGTGGTGGTGGTTGTTGTAGTTGAAGTTGTTGTCGTGGTGGTTGTTGTTGTTGAAGTTGTTGTCGTGGTGGTGGTTGTTGTTGTTGAAGTTGTTGTCGTGGTGGTGGTTGAAGTTGTTTTTGTGGTGGTTGTGGTTGAAGTTGTTGTTGTGGCGGTGGTTGTTGTGGTTGAAGTTGTTGTGGTAATGGTTGTTGTTGAAGTTGTTGTCGTGATGGTTGTTGTTGAAGTTGTTGTGGTGGTTTTTGTGGCTGCCCCCCGCCAGCCCCGCCGGTGCCGCTAGGGCTGCCTGTGGTTGTTGTTGTTGTTTTTGATGTTATTGTTGTGGTGGTGGTGGTCGTTGAAGTTGTTGTCGTGATGGTTGTTGTTGAAGTTGTTGTGGTTGTCGTTGTGGCTGCCCCCCCAGCCCCACCGGTGCCGCTGGGGCTGCCCGTGGTGGCGCGCCGTGCCGACGGCTCCCGCGCCGTCACGGCCGACACGGTGGCGCTCGCCGCTCCGGGCTGCCTCTTCAGCGACGAGCACGGACCCCTAGCACACATCCACACCATCGTGCTGGAGGCCGGGGTAGGGTCACGGGGGGTCACGGAGGGTCACGGGGGGGGTTCACGGGGGGGGGGTCACGGGGGGTCACGGGGGGTCACGGGGGTATGGGGAGGACACGGTGGGTGAGATTCAGGAAGGACACGGGGAGGGGGGGGGGGAGACAGTGGGGACACGGAGGAGACAGGGAGACACGGTGGGGGGGGGGGGGGGGGGGGGGAGACAGTGGGGACAACGTGGGAGACGGGGAGGCATGGGGAGTCATAGGGGGGACATGGAGGGAGACGTGGGGGGAGACACAGGAAGGACACGGGGGAGACACGGGGGAGACACGGAGAGGGGGGGGGGAAACACAGGAGGGACACGGGGGAGACATTGGGGTACGGGAAGGACATCGGAGGGGCTGACACAGGGGGTCGAGTGGGAGACACGGGGTGGGGGGGAGACAGTGGGGACAACGTGGGAGACGGGGAGACATGGGGAGTCACGGGGGGGGGGACATGGAGGGAGACGTGGGGGAAGACACAGGAAGGACACGGGGGAGACACGGGGAGGGGTGGGGGAGACACAGGGGGTCATGTGGGAGACACGGGGTGGGGGTGGAGACAGTGGGGACACGTGGGAGACACGTGGGAGACACATGGACCTTCACCGGGCATCATGTCCCCCCCCACCCCCCCTCCAGCCGTAGCGGACGAACCGCTCGCCACGTGGCATGAGGCCTACTTTGGCAGTCGGCCGCGGCCGTACGTGGCCACGGCGGAGGCCGTGGGGATCGCCTGCCGGGCCCAGCGGGGGTGGGCGCGGCCACGGGGGGCACAGCGGGCCACCGAGCCCGTCCTCGTCGTGGGAGGGGACCAGACGTGCCGGCAGAAGGCCCGCACCGACCAGGTGTGCAACGGGCCACTCAAGCCTGGGAGAGCTTACCTGTGAGTGCGGGGCGGGGGGAGGGAGATTAATGCTCGTGCACTCGCCCAGAACACTCACCTCTGCACTCATACACTCACCTGTACACTCACCTGTACACTCACCTCTACAGTCATACACTCACCTCTACACTCATACACTCACCTCTGCACTCATACACTCACCTGTACACTCATACACTCACCTGTACACTCAACTCTACAGTCATACACTCACCTCCACACTCATACACTCACCTCTGCACTCATACGCTCACCTCCACACTCATACACTCACCTGTACACTCACCTCTACACTCACCTTCACACTCATACACTCACCTCCACACTCATACACTCACCTCCACACTCACCTTCACACTCATACACTCACCTCTACACTCACCTCTACACTCACCTCCACACTCACCTTCACACTCATACACTCACCTCTACACTCACCTGTACACTCACCTCCACATTCACGCACTATTTGGCACAGAAACGTTCCAATCAGTAATTGTTTACGGCTCAAATCTTGTCTAATTGGCTGCGTCGGGTGGTGGAATGTTCACGACACGTTTATTCTGCGCGATCCAGCCCAACAGAAACAACGTTATCATGAATGATATCAGAACCAGAATATGTATGTTTACTGCAGGAGGAATCCGATCCGATGAGCTATGAAGCTCTTTCTTCACAGGTGTCCAGTAGGGACACGAGGTCAGAACATCACAACGACAAACGCAGAGTACAAAACGGTGATGGTAGCGCAGGGCACAAGAAAGATAAACATATCGCCCTAACACACACAGTAGAAGTTAATCATCGATTTAAAGTTTTCGTGACTGCAGGGATTCATCTTCTTGGTTCTTTCGGTAAAGTCACGTAGAAGGGAAATAATACAATAATAAACCATAATAAAATACAAAAATAAACATAATAAAATACAATTGTGAGAATTGTATTTTATTTCGATTTAAAGCTTTCGTGACTGCAGGGATTCATCTTCTTGGTTCTTTCGGTAAAGTCACGTAGAAGGGAAATAATACAATAATAAACCATAATAAAATACAAAAATAAAACATAATAAAATACAATTGTGAGAATTGTATTTTATTTCGATTTAAAGCTTTCGTGACTGCAGGGATTCATCTTCTTGGTTCTTTCGGTAAAGTCACGTAGAAGGGAAATAATAAAATAATAAAACATAATCAAATACAAAAATAAAACATAATAAAATACTATTCTCAAACATAATAGAATACAATTGTGAGAATTGTATTTTATTTCGATTTAAAGCTTTCGTGACTGCAGGGATTCATCTTCTTGGTTCTTTCGGTACAGTCACGTAGAAGGGAAATAATAAAATAATAAACCATAATAAAATAAAACATAATAAAATACAATTCTCAAACATAATAAAATACAATTGTGAGAATTGTATTTTATTTCGATTTAAAGCTTTCGTGACTGCAGAGATTCATCTTCTTGGTTCTTTCGGTAAAGTCACGTAGAAGGGAAATAATAAAATAATAAACCATAATAAAATACAAAAATAAAACATAATCAAATACAATTCTCAAACATAATAAAATACAATTGTGAGAATTGTTTTTTATTTCGATTTAAAGCTTGCGTGACTGCAGAGATTCATCTTCTTGGTTCTTTCGGTAAAGTCACGTAGAAGGGAAATAATAAAATAATAAACCATAATAAAATACAAAAATAAAACATAATAAAATACAATTCTCAAACATAATAAAATACAATTGTGAGAATTGTATTTTATTTCGATTTAAAGCTTTCGTGACTGCAGGGATTCATCTTCTTGGTTCTTTCGGTAAAGTCACGTAGAATGGAAATAATAAAATAATAAACCATAATAAAATACAAAAATAAAACATAATAAAATACAATTCTCAAACATAATAAAATACAATTGTGAGGATTGTATTTTATTTCGATTTAAAGCTTTCGTGACTGCAGGGATTCATCTTCTTGGTTCTTTCGGTAAAGTCACGTAGAAGGGAAATAATAAAATAATAAACCATAATAAAATACAAAAATAAAACATAATAAAATACAATTGTGAGAATTGTATTTTATTTCGATTTAAAGCTTTCGTGACTGCAGGGATTCATCTTCTTGGTTCTTTCGGTAAAGTCACGTAGAAGGGAAATAATAAAATAATAAAAATATAACATAATAAAATACAAAAATAAAACATAATAAAATACAATTCTCAAACATAATAAAATACAATTGTGAGAATTGTATTTTATTTCGATTTAAAGCTTTCGTGACTGCAGGGATTCATCTTCTTGGTTCTTTCGGTAAAGTCACGTAGAAGGGAAATAATAAAATAATAAACCATAATAAAATAAAACATAATAAAATACAATTCTCAAACATAATAAAATACAATTGTGAGAATTGTATTTTATTTCGATTTAAAGCTTTCGTGACTGCAGAGATTCATCTTCTTGGTTCTTTCGGTAAAGTCACGTAGAAGGGAAATAATAAAATAATAAACCATAATAAAATACAAAATAAAACATAATCAAATACAATTCTCAAACATAATAAAATACAATTGTGAGAATTGTTTTTTATTTCGATTAAAGCTTGCGGTGACTGCAGAGATTCATCTTCTTGGTTCTTTCGGTAAAGTCACGTAGAAGGGAAATAATAAAATAATAAACCATAATAAAATACAAAAATAAAACATAATAAAATACAATTCTCAAACATAATAAAATACAATTGTGAGAATTGTATTTATTTCGATTTAAAGCTTTCGTGACTGCAGGGATTCATCTTCTTGGTTCTTTCGGTTAAAGTCACGTAGAATGGAAATAATAAAATAATAAACCATAATAAAAATACAAAAATAAAACATAATAAAATACAATTCTCAAACATAATAAAATACAATTGTGAGGATTGTATTTTATTTCGATTTAAAGCTTTCGTGACTGCAGGGATTCATCTTCTTGGTTCTTTCGGTTACTGTCCTGTAGAATGG